CGTTGAGCCGACCGCCGCCGACGAGGTGCCGTTTGGGACTGCCGACGCGACCATGCACCTGGCGCTGCGCCTGCTGCCCCGCTTTGCAGCACCGCTGGTCGGCCGCGCGGTCTCTACGTTCATCGGCGCTCCAGACATCAGCCAGCGCTCACACCCGTGCGCTGTCTTTTGGTTCCAGACGCCTCGACCCGATGTCCAGGACTCTGCCGCTGAGCACGTAGCCGCTGCGATGCCCGTTGCCGCGATGGCCCACAACGTGGTCTGCGATGTCGAAGCGCTTGTCCATCCGCCACAGACCGAGGCCGACGTGCACCGCTTTGCGTGGCGTCCGAGACCACCAAGGTCATCAATGTGCTCTGTCGCTGGGCGCGCTTGTCACCGAGCTGCTCGACTGCATTGGATCCCGCCTCTCGTTCCACCGCAGTTTTCTCTCGTGGGTCGTGGAAGCGTGCGACGTGATCGAGCCTCGGGTCGCAGAGGCCGTCATCAGCCGCTCCCAAAGCCGAAGCTGCCCTCGAGCTGCCGCTGCCTACAGTGCCGCCGGCCGTGCTCGCCTAACCGACGTTGACCGAATCGCACGGCTCCAAGCCTGCTGCGTGGCGACAAGGAAGCGACCAGCGACGATGACGGGCCATCCTCCAAGCGCCTCAAGACGACGCAGTAAGCTTTGGTTGGTTCGCATGTTTAGACAAAGCCCACGGCATGGGATTGCATCAGAAAAGAAGATTTCGCACTTGATATTTTGGCTGATATTTTGGTTGATACTTTGGGCTGGTGAATCAACATGGCGTTGAAATAAGCAAGTATCAAGTTGATATCTACCGTGTGGCATCCAAGCCCACCGCTCGGACAAATACAGTGTACCAGGTAGTCACTCCCGACCCTCGATACGCCAAAAGCCATTGCAGGTGTCATCATATTGGTACAGGAGGTCGAGCAACGACGACTACGATCGAGACTCTATAAGTTAATCGGCCACGGGCGTGGCGAGTTCATCGTCGAGGAGCGTCGCGCCGCGCGTGTCGTCGAGGTCTTCGGCGCACGCCTGGCTCAACTGGCCGCTGCTTCCGCCCGAGGCGCGCCAGAGACGCATCTCCTCCAGCGCCGAGCCGAGCTGTGTCACGTCGCGCTTGCCCTCGTCGTCGTCGCCAGTCGCCGCGTTGCTGCAGCCACGCATCCACGGGTCGCGGAGGAGAGCGTCGGCCGTGAGTCGCTGGCTTGGGTCGACCGTGAGCAGCCGCCGGACGAGAGCCTTGGCGGCACTCGATACTTGCAACCACGGCGCCGCGTCCATCGAGTAGGCGCCGACGGCGACGCGGGCGAGAATGTCGGCGTGGTTGTGCCCCGGGAACGGCGGCTGGCCAGACAGCAAGATGAAGAGGAGCACGCCGAGGCTCCAGCAGTCGACAGCGACGCCGTACTTGGTGCCCTTGACAACCTCGGGCGCAATGTACCCCGGGGTACCGCACGCGGTGCCGAGGTGGTTGCCGAGGCTCATGCGCGCGAACCCAAAGTCGGCAAGCATGATCTCCGCGCCCGGCGCCGACGAAAACAAGAGGACGTTCTCGGGCTTGATGTCGCGGTGCATAATGTGTTGGGCGTGGATGTACGCGACGGCGCTCGCGAGCTTGAGCAGCACGTTGCGCGCGTCGTCTTCCGTGTACTGCGTGCGCTTGACGAGGTCCTGGAAGAGTTCGCCGCCCGTGCAGAGCGGCGTGACGATGAAGTACATGTCGTCTTCTTCGACAAAGTCGAGGAGCGGGACAATGTTGGGGTGGCGCAGCTGCCGGAGGATCGCGACTTCTTGCAAGAGCGACGTCTGCTCGTGCCGCAGCAGCTTGGCCTTGGCGATGCACTTGACAGCGACTTGCTTGAGCTGCTGGTGGTGCCAGCCGACGCGGACCACCGAGTGGGCGCCCGAGCCCAGGATGCGCCCGAGCGAGTACGTCGAGGCAAACGTGGCCGACGACGGCTGCCGGTGGAGACGTGGTCCGTGCACAAAGGTCGACTTGAGCTGTCGCGAGGACGAAGACGCAGCTTGCTTGTGCATGGCCTTCATGATGACCATGTACGCCGTCTTGACCGCGTCCGTCCAGAGCAGCGGCGCGGTCGCCAGCTTTTGCTCGGCCGCGAGCGCCAACACCTTCTTGACCGTGTCGTTCCACGCGCCGTCGAGGACCTCACCGACCATCTGATCGAGGACGTGGACGAGCACGTGCTCGTCGTCGCCGCCATCAAGCTCCCGGATGAGCGCGACAAAGATCGGAAACTCCTCGGCGAGCACCTTGGCCGAGGCGACCGCGTCGCCGGGTAGATCGTCGCTGCAGTGGCCGACCATGTAGAGGTAGATATCACGAGGAGCAGACGGCGCGAGGCAGACCATGGAGGACGACGAGCCGCCCGCGAGCTTCATTGACGACGAGGACGAGACGCTCGCGTGGAACTTGGGGCCGCGCTGCGACGTGAGGAGGCGGATCCACTTGTCGCGGTCGTCGTCCGAGTTGGCCTGAATGTAGTAATCGATGGTCGAGTGGGCGTGGTAGAGCCAAAGGACGTTGGCTTGCCGTACAAAGGTCGCGACAAAGCAGTACGGGCGGTGGTCGGCGCTCGAGCTCTCGACGTGGATGAGGTCGGTTAGCCGCAGCTCGCCGCGTAAATACCGCTTGTCCGTGTTCCACGTCGAGCTATGGTTCGGCGACCGTGGCTTCTTGTAGTACCGGAGGTGCGTGGGCGTGAGGACGAAGAAGCGCGTGAGCCAGTTCTTGCGCAAGTGGCCGCGCTTCTGCAGGACGCCGCTCCAGAGGATCTCTTCCTTCTTCTTGGCGCCACCCACCGAGGCCGAGCTCTCCTGTGGGTGCAAGACTTTCTCCTCCATGGTGCTGATCCTGTCCTCGAGGCCGCGCCGATGGGCCGTCGTCGACTTGGAAGCGTGGCGAGCGATCGTGTCAAGATGGCGGAATTGCGCACTGGACTTTTGGCCAGTTGGCCGCTAATTCTGTCGCCGGCCTCTTCTTTCTAATCCTTGTACTTGAACTTAGTATGTAGAATAAAACCTCCGCATTTAATAGCCCGAAAAATCGAACCGGAATTGGAGATTACGGTTGGACCAGTTGGTAATAAAAATCACGTTTTCGCATAGAAACTTCAAGAGACATTTGATTCGACTTGGATGCTGTGACGGCCCGATGAGATCCCGCGGCCGCGACCGCTGTCACGCGCTGGACGGCCGCGCTGCGCATGGGCCATGGCCGGCACCCGCAATGCACGGCGGCGGATGATGCGCACGTCCATGGTGAGGCGAACGAGGTACGGCAAGGCGGGGCTCGGACGTGGCTACACTGGGTGGCAGAGGCTGGAGTCGCATTGCGAAGCAGCCGCCGGCGTCCTGAGGCTCGGACGACGTCCTGCGGCTTGTTTATGACATCAATATACTAGTACTACCTGACGCGCAATGGCCTCGCCATGGGTCTCTGGCGAAGCGCGGTGGCGCAGATGCGCAGGCGAACCGCTGCCACGTACGCAGCGTCCCACTCCACATGCCATGTAATCTTCTCGACTTCTCGAGGCAGCGAGAAAGCGATGATAGCTCGCACCTCTAGCGTGTATGGGACGTGGAGGATCATGCGTGCAGCAGCGGCTATGCCGCGGCGGGCACCTGCGCCATGTCGCACCCCGCTCCACGTCTCCTCTGACGATGGAAATACCTGCTCGCCTCCACTCGCCACAGCCTTCGCCTGGCGTCTGCGATGCTCATGTAGTCGGGTCACGTCCACAGGCTACTCGAGCCGACAACCGGTGCCGATGGAAGCAGTTGCCAAGACAGGCGGCGCGAGAAGACACCATCTCTGATCCGAGGCAGCGACACGAGATTCCGGACCAAGTACAGAAGAGGAAGAAAGGGCATGGGATTGGATGTGCTATTAGAAGAAGGAGAGGTGCCCCTACCAGTTGCTGCTTCGGGGACGACCGCCATAGTCGCGGTCGCGGTTGAAGCTACTGCCGTTGTTGTTGTTGTTGTTGTTGCTATGGCTCGTGTAGCCACTGTTGCGGCTCACCATGGACGCCATAAAGTCTTGCTCAAAGCGCTTGGCTTCGTGCTCGGGGCCGTCGGGCGGCCCGCGCTTGTTCGAGTGCGGCAGGTCGTTCGGGCAGTCTTGCTTCCAATGGCCTTTCTGGCGGCACTTGTGGCACACGTACGACGGCGGCGGAATCTTGGCCTGCGGGCAGTCCGAGATGTAGTGGCCCGCAATGTTGCAGCGCTTGCAGAGGTAGCCCGGCGGCGGCGCCTTCTGCGTCATCTCGTCCTTGTGCGGGCAGTCTTCGATCCAATGGCCTTTTGGTGCCACACCGGTTGCACGTGTAGTTGTCGGGCGGCGGGCGGCGACCCGGCAGCGTCGTCGGCTTCTGGCTGCCGTACGGCGTCAGAAGCGCGTCCATGCCCGGCACGGCGCTGGCGATGCGGTCGTCGGTCGGCGCCTGCAGGTTGTTGTACTTGTCGTCCATGCAGTCGCCGGGGCGGTTGCGGGACCAGAATTTCGTGCTGTGGTCGTTCGAGCCCGTCGAGACGACGTGGCCGGCCGGGTGCCACTGGATGTCCCAGACCGCGTTGTCGTGGGCGTGCGGGACCGTCGCGATCGGCGTTTCCTTGCCGACCTGCCAGTAGAGGAGTGACCCGTCGTACGAGCCAGAGAGGAAGAGCGACTCGTAGATCGGGTGCCACGCGAGAGAGGTGACCTCGCGCGTGTGGCCCTTCATCGTCGCAAACTCCTTGAGCGTCCGAATGTCGTAGAGCTTGATGAGCTGGTCGCGCGACGCCGTGAGGAGCCAGTTGCCGTTCTGGTTCCACGCGACCTTGACGACCGTGTTCTTGTGTCCGTGGAGCGTGTTGAGCGACGCACCCGACTTGGGGTCCCAGATCTTGACGAGGTTGTCCTTGGAGCCACTCGCCAACAGCGCTTTCGACGGGTGGTAGGCCACGCACTTGACGTCCCAGCCGTGGCCCGTGAGCACGCGCTCTTCCTTGACCGACTCAAAGTCCCAGATCTTGACCGTCGCGTCGTCCGAGCACGACACAAACTTGTAGTCCGTGGGCGAAAACGAAAGCGACCGGACGGCTTCGCGGTGACCATGCACGAGCTGGACGTTGGTCATGCTCGACTGCCAGTACTTGATGACGCCGCCGTGGTCGGCGGTCACAAACCAATTGTCGTTGTGGCTCCACACCATCGCGCGCACCGCGTCGTCGTGCGCCTGCAAGATCGTCTCAAAGTTGAACGCGAGGCCGTTCCAGAGCGTAAACTCGCCGACCGAGTTGCCCGTAATGAGGCGCCGGCCTTCCGGCGTCCACATGAGGCAGTTGACCGGGCAGCGCTGCTTGTTGGTCGAGCTGCGGCAAAACTTGGTCGCGACGCACGACATGAGGTCGTCGCGGCCAAATGCGCCAGGCGGCAGCATGTAGCGCTTGTACGCCGAGTGCGGGTTCATGCTGTACTGCGGCGGCAGGTCGCGGAAGTCGCGGGCAAACTTGCGCTGCGTGATGTACGAGATGAAGGTCGAGTTCGGGTCGATGCACTTGCGCACGATGGGCTTGCGGCTGCGCTGCTTGTCGAAGCCGCCGCCGCCGTAGCCGCCGCCGCCATCGCCGCCATGGTGGCCGCCGCCGTAGTGTCCGTGGCCGCCCCGCTGCATGCCAACCGCCAATGGAACTGTGAGAATTTTAAAAGCAAGGATTTTATTCGCTGGTCATTCGAACTTGGCGACGCCAGATTTATTTTATTGCCGATACAAGGAGACCGGGCGAGCGACCACATATGGGGCCGCCAGCGCTGCCGAGGGCCTCGCCGCGACCGGCTCGCGCAAGCCCGGCGTTGCATGGCACCAAACACGTGTGCTACCCAGGCCCATGCATGGCCAGCATACACAGCGACGCATCTGCTCTTCGCACCTCCATGCATGGCGATACCTCGAGGTCGCGCTCGCAGTCCTGCACCCGCGTCGTACGTGGAGCGCACGAGCAAGCAAGGCGCAGAGGGCAAGGCCATATATGTCACAAGAAGGACTAGAAAGGCGAATAAGTTAATGCGGACGTCGACGATGCGTCCTGCTATGGGCTGCACTGCATCTGGATGCCACGGAGAATGTCTTGGGTCGACTGCCGCGCGAGCGTGTTCTCGCGGCGGTCCTTTGTGACCTTGGGTACGACGGCCTTGGCCGGTGGCGTTGGCATCGCCGGGAGTCCCAGCGCCTCGGGCGTGACGACGTCGCCGAGGCGGAAGCTGCGCGCGATGTTGGCCGTCGACTGGCACGAATTGTTGGACTCGCGCTCGCTCGACGCGCGCAG